TCACTGTGTAAGTGTAAGGCATACAGCACGTTGGCTGGATTTATGTCCTTTGTGAAACGGTCACCACAGTAGGTCCGGCGAACATCCATCTGCTTGTATAGAGACAATACAAAGAAAGAAAGAAGGAAAAGCATTTTTCTCTGTGTGATGAGAACTCTCTCAGGATTTCTTTTAACCACGTTCCTGCGAATCCCTGGGCGACGTCAACCGCAGGTGTCCTGGTGTAGGCGACCTCCTCAGCACTATCTTTACACCTGAAGTTTTCCCCTGAACACCTCCCTCCCCCTCCCCCTCCTCACAAGCTCTGCCTCCGGGAGCCACAGGGCTGGTCTCTTTCTGTTTGGGTTTTTGTTTTATTATCGTATTTCTTTTCTTTTAAGATTCCACATATCAGTGGAATCATGTGGTGTTTGTCTTTCTCTGTCTGACTTAGCTCACTTAGAATAATGCCTTCAGAGTCCGTCTGTGTTGTCACAGATGGTAAGATTTCCTGAGTTTTATGACTGATAGCAGTCCATATATTCACACACACGTTCTCCATCCATTCATCCATCGATGGACACGGTGTCTCCATGCCTTGGCTGTTGTGAATCAGGCTGTGCGCTGGGAGTGTAGATTTTTGGGTTAGTGTTTTCATTACCTGTGGATATAGTCCCAGGAGTGGAATTGCTGGATCACGTGGTCACCCTATATTTAATGTTTCGGTGGATCTTCCACGCTGTCTACCACGGCTGCCCCTGTCTGCACTCTCCGTTTCCTCCACATCCTCGCCAACATCTGTCGTCTCATCTTTGGGGTGACAGCCGTTCTCACAGGTGTGGGGCGATCCCTCATCGAGGTTTTGATTTGCATTTCCCAGATGAGGAGTGGAGCGGAGCACCAGTTCACCTACCTGCTGGCCTTTCATGCATCTTCTGCGGAGAAACTTCTATGAGGTCCTTTGCCCATTTTTAAATTGGATTATTTGTGTTTTTTTGCTATTGATCTGCAGGGGTTCTTTGTATATTTTGGATACTAACCCTTTATCGGATATATGGTTTGCCAATATATATTTCTCCCATTCTGCCGGTTGCCTTTTCACCTTGTTGATGGTTTCCTTTGCTGTGCAGAAGCTGTTTGGTTTGATGTCCCACTTGTCGATTTTGTTTTCGTTGCTTGTGTGCTTTAGGTGTAATTTCAAAAAAAAATCATTACCAAGACCCACGTCAGGGAGCTTTGTTACCATGTCTTCTTCTAGCTTCACAGTTTTGGGTCTTACGATTCAGTCTTTAATCCATTCTGAGTTAATTTCTGTGAGTGATGTGAGATGAGGGTCCCGTTTCATTTCTCCAGTTATCCCAGAGCCGTTTAAGATGTCTTTTCTCCACTGAGTGTCCTTAGCTCCCTTGTGGAGACGCTAGTCCACCATATATGACTGGGTTCATTTCTGGGCTCTTGATTCTGTTCTGTTGCCTGATTTGTCTGTTTTTATGCCAGTACCACACTGTTTTGGTGATTATAGCTTCATAGTAGACTTGAAATCAGGAAGTGATATTTTTGACAACAAGATCACATGATAATAAACATGTCCCTATACTTCCATCTACAAAATGCTCTTGCCTTGGCATCTGCTTCTTTTACAACACCAGTAATTGCTTTGTCATTTATTGCTAAAAGGTCATCCTCATTTTGAATAGCAGGTCGGGATTATTAGACAAATCCAACAGGCAGCATGTCACTGAGGTCATGGAACTCGGCGGTGTGCCTCACCAGCGGGTCTGTCTCTAAACAGTGCAGACTGGTGGCTGAACCCCAGTGAACACACCCACAGGGAGATCATATAAATGTGTAGATCCTGAGGGAGAGAAGCCAAATTTAATAAGAGACATTTATAGAGGGCTGTTAGGGTGTGTTGGCTTTCACAAAATTAGCTCATTAAACTGACACATGCACACCCAAAAATACTCACACTGTCTTGACCCTGAACATCTATCCCAGAGCAATAAATGCAGAAATGAATGTTTTTGCAAACCGTTGTTTATTATGTTTATTTATAATAGGAGGCAACACCTGTTATGATGGGGGATCGTAGTGAACATGGCAAATTTGTGTGACAGCTGTATTTCCTGGAATACTAGGCTCGATTAGTAATTGGACTGGGTAAGCCATTTAATGATAAGGGAAGTGTTTATTTTTTAACACCTCCTGAAAAAGCTGTTCCTGCCGTCTGATGGGGACACCGGTGCAGCCAGACCGCGACCCCAGGAAACAGGTTTGCTGCACGACAAATGATCAGCTGTGATCAGCTGTGATCAGCTGGGGAGTCTGCAGGGACATTTTTACATACTTATTCACTCTGTTTTATAAATTTTCTATAATGGGTTTTTATTATCAAGTAAGGTAATATATTTAGAATAGAGGGTTTTTTTTTTTTTTTCCTAACTGCAAATGTGTGTATGACAAGGACATGCTCCTACACACCAGCCAGAATCCAGAACGTTGACATCAGATGCTGGCGAGCCTGAGGAGCCGCGGGAGCACTTGTTCCTGGCTGGTGGGGATGCAACATGGTGCAGCCACTTTGACAGTCTGGCGGTTTGTTACAAAGCTAAATGTTGTCTTCCCATACGATCCAGCGGGCACATTCCTTGGTATTTACCCAAATAAAGAACTTGCATCCAAACAAAAACATGCATGCACGTGTTTATAACTGTTTTATTCATAATTGCAAAAACTTGGAAGCCACCAAGATGCCCTTCAGTAGCCGAGTGGATGAGTGAGCTGTGGTCCCTCCAGACGATTGAATATTATTCAGTGATAAAAGGAAAGGACCTGCTTTGCCACGAAAAGACAGAGAGATTTCAATCACACATTGTTAAGAGCAAGAAACCAGTCTGAAAAGGCTACGTAATGTCTGGTTCCAATTATACGGCATCCTGGAAAAGGGGAAACTGTAGAGGCAGTAAGAAGATCTGTGGTTGTTGGGGGGGGTCGGGAGGGGGATGAACAGGCAGGACACAGGATTTTAGGACAGTGAAGCTCTTCTGTATTCTATATTCTGCGATGGGAATGCATGACAGTCTGTCTTTGGCAAAGCTCAGAGAATGCCCAGCACAAACCACAAAGCTTGCTGTCAAGGATGGGCTTGAATTAGCCACCGTGTACCAGTGTCTGTTCATCAGTGTAACAGGTGCAGTGCACTGATGCAAGACCGGAAGCTGGGGGTGCTGGGGGCTCGGTGTGGCGGCATTGTGCGAACTCTGTACTTTGTGCTCCATTTTTCTGTACACTTCGAACTACTCCATAAAAATTAAGTTACAGTTTTAAAATTTGTATATGCCCATCAAAGGGGATTTGAACACTGTGGGAAGACAAAAACAAAGACAGACCAGATAGGATCTGGCAGAGTGTAGCCAGGATGCAGCTGGCCCCCTTCCCGTGTGTTGCCAACAAGGCAGCCAGGGTGAGACACTGAAATGAAACTCAGAGCGTGCCCCTCCTCTGCACCCCACCCTCCTGTCAGCCGCATACCTCAGTGTGCCTGCAAAGCACAGTCTCCTCCCGACCCCACACCCACATTTCCTCATCTCTGCCTCTCCACTCCACCTCCCTGCTTGCCTTGCAGCTTCTGGAACACACTGGGTAGGCGCCTGCCTCAGGGCCTTTGCACTTCCCCACCTCTCCCTGGCCTGCTCTTAACCTCTCACCTCCTGCAGGCTGTCACCTATAAATTCTCTTCTCAGGGCAGACCTTCCTGACAACCCTGTATGAAGATGAAACCCACCTACCAGTTCCCCATCCTTTTTCGTCCCTGCCCATCAACCTATAACACAAAGCAAATAAAAAAGGGAAGTATATACAATCTGTCTTCCCTCCTTGGGAGGTGTGGTCCCTGAAGGCAGGCCTTCCATCTGCTCGGTTCACTGCTCTGTCCCTAAGAGCTAGAACATGGTTGGCATCTAGTCAACCAAATCAAGAGTTGCTGACTGAATGACTACATGGTGTAGAAATATAAATGATTTTGTAATTTGCTTTATTTACTGAACATATTGTGAGCCATCCCCTATGGTGCCGAGTGTTCTCCCTTGTATGATCCTACTGTTCAGTGTCTCGAGTGGACACACCGTTGTTAATACAAGCATCTGCCCTTTGCTGGCTTTTCTAGTTTCTCGCTAAGGCATTGGGCATGTGGGTGAATTCTAGAAAGGGAAACATTAGATCGAAAGTAGTAAACTATATTAACATTTTTAAAACATATTTCCAAATTGCTTTCCAGAACTTGCACCATCAATATAAGCTGGTACCAACAGAATATTTCTTAGAAACCATACTTATTTTAGGGACTGAAGATTCCTTAAAAAAAAACCCCAAAAAACAACTTTATAGAAAAGGCAGAGATGGAAGCAAATTTTCAAGTGTTTCCAGTTATGCCAGGAAAGACAAGCTGAATTGCGAGTTTGGAGCCTGACTCCTCACAAGGGGTTGCCCAAGCCGTTGTGAGTATGAAGTTCCTCCTCTGCAGAGGCCGGGCAGGTGGCAGCCACATCCTCAGGTATCAGCTGAGCCTGCTGGACTCTAGAGAACCCTCCCCACCCTGACCCACAGCTGCCTTCTCCTCTGAGCCCCCTCCGACCTTTATGTGCTCCTGTCTTGGCCCTCAGCCCCCGCTGCTCAAGGGATTTGTGTGCTTATCACCAGCATCGCTGGTTATATACGTACCATGTGTGCACCACAGCCAAGGAGCCGCTCTCTAAGGCACGTGTGTCCCCTGGTGACTAAGCTTTGTGCCTCGCGGAACATCACGTAGTGGTGTACATGTGCTCTGTGCACAGTCAACATTTGGACAGATTGAGAACCCATCCCATTTATTTCTGGGATAGTAGCACACAGCATGGGTTTCCAAGAAACGGGTTAGTGCTGCCCTTGTTTTCTGGGTGATGATGCACTGTGTCATGATATGGCAGCTGCCCCTGGTAGACACCAGGCATCCCCGTGCTGACCTCCCTGTCCCTGTTCTGCAGGTGGTTGTCACAACAGCCTGAAGCCTGTTGGCAGTAGCCCCGGGATTGCCATCACTGCTGCGGCCGCCATGGTGTCTGTGGACCCTGAGGGACTTGGGGGCCCATCCCCCTCCAGCGTGCAGCCCTGCCACTTCCTGACGTTGGCACCCATCACGATACCCCTGAGGACCGCCCCCTTCTCTGGTAAGCACAGATCATGGGCTCTCCAAGCCTAGAGCTGGTTCGGAGCTCACAGCCTGCCTCCAGCTTTGGGGACCCCTAGATTCGTGTGCCGAGGGCACCCAGGGAGGGACATGCTGTGGGGGTTACCCAGGTTCTGCTCATCTTCACACTACACAAATGGACCTCAACTCCATTGAAGAATGTCCTGCTAAGTCTACTTGGGCGTTTTCTGCCATGAAGTCAAGTTAGAAGTTTCTATTTGGAGAAGTGAGACTACTAAGTGTTGAGGCAGAGTAATGTAGTCACTGAGAGTGTCAAGGTCCCCAGAGGTTTGTGGTTTCCTTACATGGAACTCGGAAGGGAACAAAGACAACAGAAAATAGCTAAGCATCTAAGTTAATAAAACACAAAAAAGTGCAACGCTGGTACTCACGAAGTCACCCCCTCTGGGCTTGCCGGCTGGCTCATTGTGAACGTGGGGGCAGGGATATCGGGAAGTCCCTGATACGCGTGGCTGACTGTGAGGAGCATGGATGGCCATGGAGGTCCTCAGCTTCCTTTTAATGCATGGGTGTGTGCTTCTTCTGGGAAGTCTTCAGGGCGGACGTGGGGCTGGTAGGCACTCTGGTACCGGAGTGGAGCCGTGATGCGTGTTCAGGGGCTCAGCAGGGAGACGGAGAGACCCGGGTCTTGGACTGGTTACAGCTCTGTGTCCATGTGTTCACAGATGTTGGTGTGTGTCTGTTAATCGTGACTGGCAGGCCATGTGTCCGAGCCACCAGTGAATGTGAGCTTAGGTCCTTCCCTTAAGTGTAGCAAAAAATCATGAATTTGGAATGACCTTTAGTACGTACTCAGATCTTGAGAGCTGGTACTACTACCTCAGTGTTAGGTTTGCTTGTGATGTGATAAGACCTGAATAAAAATTCTGTGGGTTCTCATATGAATTGATACTAGAATTCTAATGTTAGCATTAATATCATCGATCGCCAGGTTATCAGTAATAGGAAACATCACTAGATTGTGAGACACATGCACACACACAGCCAAGTTCTTGGGAGAAAGAGGAGTAACCCATTTTCATTCTTTTCCTGTTTTGATTTGCTGATACTGTTTCTGGAAGATCAGATGTGGTCTTTGGTGTCTGTAGTTCACTAAGGCTTGATAAATTAGTTGGTCAGTAGAACATTGTATTCTCAAGAACAAAATCTTATTTCTATTTCAGGCTGTTAGTGAACATGCATTTAGGGTGTGATGGGGGAAATAAATAAAACACATAAATAATCTCGTGTGGAACATAATTTACAGCTGTGTCAAGATTTCAGTTAAAATCCATCAGTCCATTGGCATTTATTAAGGATGACTTACTGTTTTCTGAGAAAATTAATCTTAGAAGGAACCCAAACCCATGTACCCAGGGGTGGCTTCACTTCCCATGCCTCCTTTGATTTATAAAGTGACATAATAATTAGGTATCTTTCTGTGTTTGCATTTTATAAGGCGCTATAATCAAATTTGCCATAATGTGCATTCAATTAGAGGACGACTGTGTCAACATGATCTGTCTTGTAGGTAACCACCGAAATGTGCCATCAGGAAGAAGGGGGGGGGCGTCCGGAGGCAGCTTCTTAAATTGCCCCTGTGGTATTGATCCGAAAACCGGAAAACAAAAACCGAATGCTACAGCAGAGGGATCAGGTGGGAATTGAATAAGAGTGGGGGTGCTGGTCCGGATGCACAACCCCAGCCCGGGGGGCGGCCTCCGAGCTCTGTGCCCAGCTCCAGCACCTGCAGTGGCTGTGGTCCTACCCGGGGCACCCCTGCTAAGTGCGTCCTTTGGGAGACCCAACCACCTAGCAGTCTGTCCCTGGCTGTGTCCCCTTGATGTCAGCAGAAGGCATCTGGGTGAGACTGGCCATGCCTGTGATGAGCCCTTTCCAGAATTTCCTTGAGAACTTTCTGGGAACCGTGGCTCGGAGGAGCCTGAGCAGATAGTTTGTCTCTCAGAGTTTGTTTTAACTACAGTCAGTAGCTCCATAGAATGAGATTTGGTGAGGTCGAGGAGTTGCCAGGGTCGGTGAGCATTCTCGATGCTGGGAAATTCCTGCCACCCCTCAGAACAGGCTCCTGGAGGGGGACAGGGCTGGGAGAAAGGCTAGGTGGGGCCGAGACAGAATGACATCCCCGCCCACGGCGATGCGGATTTTACAGAACAAGAAAAACGCACCTGTCTGCGAAGTGTGCGCCATATTGAAATTGATTTTATAAAAACATGTGAATTTTAATTTATCTACAGATGAGTAATCTTGTTTTTATTCAGAGAATTCACCTATTTGGTAAAGGAGCTGGACTATTTTATTTATGCCCTTGGCTTGGTCATGAAATCCAGGTAAGCGTAGAAGCCCTGCGGGGTGTAGCTCTATGCTTCTCACCTGGGGGCAGATGGTTGGCAACAGCTGAAGACATTTTTTTGGTCGCCACAAGTTGGGGGTTCTACTGGGATCTGGCGGGCAGAGGCCAGGAGACCGCCACACACCGCACAATGCCTGGGACAGCCCCCATGATGAGGAATTATCTGGCCCAAGATGTTAGTAGTGCTTCTGCCGAGAAACCCTGGTTTATATTCTAGAACCCCCCTTAACAAGGTGTGGAAACCTATGCTGGTGTGTGAATAAGCTCAGTGGGGAGCGTTAGTGATCCAGTAACGAAGGACCCCGAAGGAGATAGGCTTATCGCTGGAAAGATCAGCCGGAAGAGTTACACTTAATTATATGCCTTTCACATGATTTAACGTTTCCAATAAGACACCGTATTTGAAGAGCCCCACGAGCTGGTCCACATCAGTCGTGAACCGGAGTCTTCCCTCCAGGGCCCTGCGGGCACACGCTGGTCCTCGTGTCCTCTTCCTGGGGACCCCGCAGACCGCCGTCTGTTTGTGCGTCTGTCCCCTTCCCCGGCCCGTAGGTCGTGTGTGGCGGGGCTGTGTCTGCCTGTCCTCACCCAGCCCGCGGCGGGCACCAGGCCGTGCTCCTTACGTCTGCACCTTGGGCAGTTTCCCCCGCGGGCACGGCGGTCTCCATACCGTGTGACCGGTTCTGTCATTTACACCATCTCTGCTGCTGAATCTCACACGCCTGCTCCTGAGTCAGGGTGACATAGATGGGGGGGCAGGCGGAGCCGGGGCTGGGCCTGCAGATATGCCTGAGGGTCTGTGGCGGCGGCTGGAGGGCCGGCGGGGTGCGTGTCCTCCTGTCCTCCCGTTCGCTCTGTCCACCGGCTTGCAGCTGGATGCGCTTTGCCTCCATTCCAAGGGCTCCTTTAAGCGTTAGAACTCAGGCTAAAGAAGGAAGAGTTCGGAGAAAGACGGATCTTGTACCGTACTCATTTCCTAGTGTTTAAGGAGACCCTGAGGTTTCGGGGGGAGCCTTCAGCGTGCAGCGGAGGGCGGCTCTGCGCGCTGCCCGTCCCCGACACCCCGGGGGCCACAGCGCCGCACGGCTCCGACACTGCCCCGATTTGAGAAAATAAATGAAGTGATTCTTTTTTTTTAAGACTGATGGTAGCTCGTTTTGAATCTTGGCCCCCATTTTGCAAGCATTCAAGTGAAAAAGGTAAAATATGAGTGATAGTTACGGCCACTCATAGAGCGGCTGACGGTCGAACACAACGATTAAAAAGTACCATCTGTCTGGGAAACCATTTACCACCTGTTCTTTTGCTTCCAGAACTATTTAATGGTTTAAATTTCACATTTTGTCCTGCCACCGAACAGCTGGGAAATGACTATTCTTGTTTCTATTGGGAGGTAGCATCCGAGCTCCGCAACAAGCCAGGGACCCCCACGCCAGCGCCCTGCCACGTGGCCTTCCACGGCCGCGGCTGCCCTCGTTAGTGGCATATTCACAGGTGCCAACACGGATTCATAACAACAGGAACCCGGCCGCGGGGGAGGAAGGCTTTTCTCTTCTTATCCAGGAATTATTTCCTCCCCCACTGTAATCAAAAACGTCATCCTACATCTTTACACTTTAGAGTTTTCAGAGACAAAAATGCTTATAACGGTGAAATCACTGACACCCCAAAGTGCCTGGGACTCAGCCGGCTTCTGTGAGGAAGGCATACGTGTCTCTAATACAGGGATCAAGCTGCTTTTCATAGAAAAATTATTGGATTTAAACAAACAAACAAAAAGGCTTTGTATATAGTCTGTTCTCCACAGTGAACTCCTGTTAAGGGGACAAGCTGCAAATAGTCAGGTTGGCCCTTGGGCAAGGGAAGTGCAGATTTCCCTAAATGGAGACGCCAACGTGGCGATGGGCTCCCACGGTGAGTCCTCCCCGAGAGCGAGTGCACGTGCTCTCAAGCGTCCGTCTAGGAAAGGTCCTTCGCTGGCCTGTCTGCCCCCTGGCCGTCTCCCTTCCTGCCACCTTCCCTGAGAAATGCCTGGCTCTCAGCTCGGGTGGCCATCTGCACTGGTAGCTGCGATTCACTCTTTCTTTGAAAAGAAACATCAGAAATCCATCACGCACACAAAAGCACGTATATGTTTATGCCAAGTATAAAGAACGCTGCTACAATAGAACCCCCAATACCTCCGTCTGAGCCTGAAAAAGTGGACGTTTCCACACCCCCCATGCTCCTGGGAGCCTCGACTCCTGACTACCCCGGGGGTAATTACTCTCCTGAATGTGTGTGAATCACTACTTTGCTGTGTTTTAGAAATATGCTTACCATACATGTATTGTCTCCAAACAATATACTGTGTAATTCAGGCTCTTTTGAATTTTACATAAATATCATAATCCATGCATTCTTGTGATTCTCTTTTTTTGCTCAAAATGATGGTTTTGTTATTGTTTGTTTTTTTAAGCCATCCCACTGATGCTTGGAGTTGTAGTGCAATCACGTGCCCTTGGTAAAACCTCATTCATTAGTGGGGATCCACACCATGTGTCCTGTGTTCTGCTGCTGGTGGGCGTCTGGGCTGTTTCCTGAAATGCCAAGCATGGTGGTCCCCTCCT